TCTGTGCTCAAATACGAGTAGTGCCGTCCGATGGCTCTCAAAATAGGAGGGGTCCAGAACCAGTATTCTAGAAGTTGGCTAGGTGCCTCGCAAAAGTCCAAAGCGGTGGCTTCAGGGCCATTGAGAAGTGCAAAAACCGTCCTCTTGGAAGCAAGATCATGAATACAGTGGCCGAGTTCGTGGAACAGGGTAACAACTTCCACATGTCTCAACAGAGTGGGTTGCTGAGCGCTTGGTTTGGGCAAACTGCAGACTAAAGCAGTGGCAGGCTCTTGTCCGTGAAATCCCTAGTTGTTCCCTTCTTAGCTCTTATCATGTATTTACTTTGCTCTCTCCCGTAGAGTATACATACCGGAATAATGCTCAGGGAGTGTGGATGGCCAGCCTTTCCGTCGCGTTCGAAAACATCAAGGTAGAGGTAGCCTGAAAATCGACCTCCCAGCCCTTCTGTATTCCAAACTCTAAACATCCTCACATCTTCATTCCATACCTTGCCTTTGATATCGTCTCCACTAACTTCAACCATACGGAAACCGAAGAGCTTTTGCATCATGTCCAGCATGATAGCCATAACAGCGTCGAGGGGGAAATACTCGGAAATATACTGTTGGTCAACAGCGTGAAATTTCTTCATCGCGATGCTGTGGTAGTAGGTGTCATCCCACAGGAAATACCCGCCATCAGACTGAGCTTCTCTCGCCTCGACGTCTTCACGCTTCAGCTGCCTTTTCTGCGCGATCTCCCCGGCAGCTTTGCCGGCCAGACCGTCTCGGAGGTCGCCAAGAAATTTATTCACCGTCTCGGGATCCTTGGCCATCTTGTCCTGGAGTCTGAACGTTGCGTGATTGGGGTACCCGAGGAGCCGCGCCGCCTCATCACGCAGCACAGCGACCTCTTTCAAGATCGGCACGCAGGCCGCACATGCATTGTCGCTCTCGACGTACAGTCGCTTGCGCGTGGCTTCATTCTTGGCATTGCGTAGAGTTGGGAATAGAACTGGGTTGTTGAAGGTCACGCGGAGGGACTCCGTACCGTCTTTCTCTGACTTCTCCAACTTGCTCAAGACGCTCTCAGGCACGCCGTCCAGTTCTTCGCGCGTGAGGGAGACGCCGACATCGGCAGACTTGGCGGTAGTCTGAACCTTGAGGAACTCACCCTCTAGCTGACTGATCCGCGTTTTGATCTCTTTGAATCTGCGGCGCTCTGGTGAGCCCGATGGGAGCGAAAGCCCGTTGACAGTGAACTCTCGGTGCACCTTCTCTAGGTATCGACGTGACTCGTCATCCAGGTTGTCCTGCCCCGGTTTACTCTGTGCTTTCAACACCGCATCCACCAGCCTGAACAGGGGCTCGTTCATGGCGGTCTCCGTCTTGAAAGCCTCAAAGAGGTTTTTGGCTTCCGCCGATGCCTCGCGCACACCCGCATCTTCGGAAATGGAGTTATAGGCTGAGAGAAAGCGGGTCGAGGTAATTAGATCATTCTCAGCGCGGGCAAGAGCAAGGAGAACATTCTCGAAAGTGGCAGTGTCAGGTAAAACATCTTGCACGAGAGAAGCGTGTAGCTTCTGCGTCTTCTCAATGATGCCCTTAGCATCTGATAAGACGGACTCTGCAGTGGCATTAAACTCAGGCGGGGGCTGGGGGGGCATGACAGTGGACGCCATGGCGAGAATCACAAACCCCGTTGTTGGGGTTAAATGGGCAATATGGAGAATACTATGGCGTTCTTTGGATATTCACCGAATACGGAGAATATTACCTATGTACTACTCTAGATGCCGTGATAGAGATGCCCAGCTTCAATGGTCAATGCGCTGATTTTATGCGGAGGATTCAGGCAGTCGTGATATTCTATATGTGGGGCGACCTGGGGAAAGCTGCGCAGGAACCTTGCCGCATGCGGTAGTATTACTGCATCTAGTACCTCAAAAGAGAGAGGTCGTCAAATAGAAAGTGGAAGCTCTTTATCTTTGCCTTTTCACTATGCTAGAAGCTATGTAGGAGTAGACCAGGAACCATTGGTGGGTACCAATATATTCGTGTCTGACAGTGCAACGCCATCTTGCCCAGTGAGATCAGAGCAGCCCCCACTCGCTCAGTCTTCGTGTCTGAATAACGCAGCAAAGCGATTAGTCATGCCCTGAAAAGCAACTTCACAGTAATATTGGCTCTGGAAGCATTACATGAAGCCACAACACTTGCATACCTCTACTTCCTCTGTCTCTGCCACCTCCTCATCCTCCTGCGCGATATTCCCAAATTCGATCACGTGGGCTCTCTTCTTGATTAACTTGGTGGCTCGGGGGGAAACTCCCACGACATTGAGCAGAATCTCGACATTTCCAGCTTGTTTGGTGACTAGACGGATCCCTCTCTGAAAAGTCTTCACATCTGCATTGCGTGCCCACTCCATGAGACTAGTGGCTACTTCAATCCAAGCGACGATATAGTCCGGGTCGACGGAAGCGTCTGCCTGGCGAAACTCGATGGTTCTTCTCTCGTCGCACAACTTGGGCTTATCGGGAGAATAATCTTCAAACGAGTACGCCATATTGCTGGAACGCGAGTCAGCCATTGGGGTAGTTTTCATCATTTGGTACAATTGATCCAGGCTCATCGCTTTCCAGATCATGGCAACGAGCTCTCTCTCCTAAGGGCAGCTTCGTGCCGGTCGTGGGGTTTTGGGTGCAGGGGGGCAAACTGGCTCAGCCCATTCCTTGAACAGAGTGAGGTCGCCGGCTGGATGGAGCCACTTCATATCACCGTGCCACTCCGGGCTAGCAAGTGAGCTCTTGGATCTCATGGTGCGGCACCATCGGCTCTCGAGACGATGCGGAGGGTGTGTCTTGTTCAGTGTCGCTTCGCCCCCCATCCACATCAGGGTGGTGAATTTCTGGAGGGTGAGGAGTTCGAATCCTACATTTCCGCAGCCGACGTGCACGTGAAAGCCGCAAGTTTGTTCCATGATCACCCAGCGCTGGGCACGCAAGGCGTCGACCAGCTTATAGCACTCCTGAAAGGCAGTTTTGTCATTGACCAGAATGGGGGAAACAAGCTCAATGCCAACATAATGAGTCTCACTCTCGCGAAGCTTCACGCGAGTCTTCTGGCAGGTTGTTTCGCGTTTGATAATCCAGGCGCGGCAGTTTTTCTCCTCTGAGGCAACTACAGCTTCGGAACTCTGGAACTTGTTGGATACCATAACAGGGTCTCTAAGCTTGATCCCAACAAGAAACTCGCGAACCTTGTGGGCAACATCCTTGTGGAGGTCGTAGTCCTCGAGCGTAGTTCGAACGTGGATGTCTCTGCGGTACGAGGTGATCCAATCACTGTTGGTATCAGCCGGAGAACCAAGTAGCTTGCCCTTGGCAATTTTGCCGTAGGCCACAAGCATCTCGACCTCAATGCCAAAGGTGAGAGGATCTATGCCACGTCGGACCTTGACGTCTTCCCAAGTTTGAAACAAACCGTCGGTCGCCATAGCTGATGCGGAACGAAAAGATCGAAGGGTAGGTGCTTTTCCGATGATCTTCAAGGAGACTTGAAAAGATGATCAGTCTGACCTGAAACTTGGAGTTGAGAGTCAACAATCCAAGTGGTTTATATAGGAGTCTGGGAACTCCTGTAGACTAGATTGGGGATGTGGAACAGAGATTAATTCCTGTGCTGTCTCGGTCTACAAAATTTTCTTTTGTGTGGGTGGAAAGAACTACTTCGCCGATGTTCACGTGTCAGTCCGGCGTCGTCCACTTAGGCAACCACCCCGTGAATGTGACTGATTCACATGAACTCAGGAATTGGTTCTTTGTATTGAGAAAAGGGGAATTAGCATGAGCGGGTGAGTGCCGCTTCGATCACGGAACCGAACCCCTGAAAGGGCGGGCACGCTGCCATAGTGAGAGCTCCGAGGCAAAGACAACCAAATCCTCTATCTAGACTGGGTACAACTGATAGTATCGCCCAGTATGCAGGTGATTGAGTCGTTGCCAACATTAACATGGGATGAGACTTGGCTAGGGGCTCTGGTCGTACTCGCCTCTTTTGTCCGCAAACCCTTCGTCAGCACTCGCGTGTTCGTCTCGTGCGCCGCAGAACTATCATCTGCCACAGCCACAGGCCAGCCCCAAGACCAGTAGAAAAAGGAATCACAATTCATGTTCGACATGTGAACCTGTTTATCCATCATCTGCCAAGTGTCGACTTCAATTGTGTGTTGCCATGTCGCAGTCTTGATGATTATGGGTGGTCTTGTTGTGTAGGTAAGCCTGCATAGGCAGCTACAGAAACAAAGAACTCAATAAAAATAGATGCACAATTTCTTCCTGAATAGACTTTTACACAAAGATGGTTTCTAATTGCACCTTACAAAGTCTTGGACGAACGGGAATAGTTCCTGATGGTGACTACAGTGTCAGCCCCTCCCTCTCCCCCTATCCTCCGCCATGTACGAGACAGCAGACGCCGCACAGCTCTCCCGTGTGTGTGTGTAGTACAAATAGACTCTATATTTGCTATACTTACCTAAGTACTTAACAACCCAGAACCATCGAAAATGATACAAGGTGGACTGGCTAAGTGGATCTGCTTGTACCGCATGCTGGTTAGTTAGAATTCAGACGAAACTACCATGGCATTCAGACGAACCATTTCAATAGGCCCGTTCAGTTAATTCTTGAAATTTTAAGTTCCAATATATTTATGAAGGACGAAAGACATTGTGTTACAGGAATAGTGGCTCCTACTCATTAGCATACGCCCGGTCTTTGCTGGTTAGGTTCAACCTTGTCGCCCACCATAATACAATACCAGGAGACCGAAGATTTTACATAACCTGAAGTTCAAACCGACTCATTTTCTGGTGGGCATTGCTAACATAAGAAAAATGCGGTCATTAGTCCACCACTGGCGCCCAAGACAGACGAGAAAATCTTTTCCCACGACTCCACAGAGGTCACATATGCGTGGTTAAGACAAAAACTCTTTATCAACCCTCCTGAGCAAGGGTCTTTGGTGTAATGGCAACATGGGAGACTACGAATCTCCGGCTCTGGGTTCGATCCCCAGGAGACCCTACGGTTTCTTTTTGGTCGATCTGTAGATGCCTGCCTTTTTCCCCTTTGGTGACTCGCTGTTCCGATGCTGCTGCCACGTTACAAGAGTAGCTTTACGCCTCACACTACCCAACGATTGCAAAGACCTAGAAAACAGATGAGCAGTCTGCTCGAAACTTTGAGTTGCTATTCAACTTCAGAGGTGGTATAATATGTCATTTGTATTTCACAGTATTTCTTTTGTCATATCTACATAAATATTATGTTCATTAGAATCCTCGAGAGAGCTTATCGTCCTTGTCACTTATCCCTCTCAGGGTAGCGCCAGGAAAACACTCAGGAGCTTGGCATAATCCGGGGTCCCCAAGCCGGTAACGGGATCCCAACCCTCAACAGCTTGGTAGCCGGTGATGCCACAAACGTTGCTATTGCCGACGGTTATGTCGTTGAAGATCTGGCTCGCGTTGGCGTACAGAACCGGGTTCACGAAGCCGACGGGGCCCTTGCCCACCGCCAGCCGCTCCTCGTTGACTCGGTTCAGCATGGCCGCGACGATGGGGGCCGCCGCCGATGTGCCATCGGCGGTAGTCAGCTCGTAGTTGACGGCGACGGCGATGCTGGCGCCCACGGCGGCGAGGTCGGGAACGCCGCGGTTCGAGGCGTTGAACAGGGAGGCGATGCTGCTGAGGTTGTTGGCCTCGAGGTACGCGCCCACGGCTTCGTCCTGGTACGCCGGGCGCGGGTAGTAGGCCGAGAACCCGCCGCTCGACGCCCACTCGTCGGACTGCACCGCCGTCTCGGTACCATCGGCGAAGAACTGCGTAGCCCCCACCGTGGTCACGTATGGGCAGTTGACCGGGCTCTTGACCCAGAAGCTGCCGAGGTTGGTCGCCTGGCACGAGAGGCTGGACAGTGGGCCGCTGTCGCCCGAGGCGAGCACCACCGAGACGCCCTGAAGTCCAAGCTTCATGAACCTATAAACTTTTAATTAGCAAAATGAAACCAGAATTCCTTGCACTTTTTTTCATCTTGACCGTAGCCACTGGGTGGATTCTTGTCTTACTCGTTGCATTGCCTCATCTGGTAGGCCTCCGACCACAATGATTCCGTTACAGCGTATGATATCGAAATGACGTTTGTAGGTTGGTAGACACCACACATGCGCTCTCCCTTGTAAGTTGCGAGCGTTTCACCCTCTGGCCCTGTCAGGCTGTGTGTATCCGGATAGACAGGGTCGTACACCGTACTATCTCCCGTCTCTCCAAACGCAGAGTAATTGCAGTATGTACTGTCAAGGGCGTCCAAGAATGTATTGAAAATTCCCGTCGCTGTCAAACTGTAATCGGTGTAGTAGATATCATCCGTCTGGAATACGGTGATATTCTGAGGATAAACGATAGGATATGCTGCGTCTAAATCGAGATCTGCCTCGGTTGCGATGGAAATGTAAGTATCATTTGTATCATAGAACCATTCAGCCTCGTCAATGCTCAGATTCTGCGGTCGTGTGCCCTGCGGGATGTTGGTCGCAAAGCTGGCGAAGAATAGGTCAAGGTCGTCATTCTGATACCACGATATCTGCTCATATATTCCAAGAGAGTTGTTCGGGTGGGCCTTGTCTGCTGCGGGAATGTTATACCAAGCGGCGATACAACGGGGAGTCACCATGTTAGCGCACGTGCTATTGTCGCGAGGTGAAATCTGCCGCTTGGGACGGTTTGATGCACTTCGCTTTCGGCGGCGGAGCTCTGAGGACTGCATCTCACCGAGCGCAACAGCCGGATAGACAAATTCCACGTGTGGTTTCAATTCGGAAGGGATGCTGTACTCATCAGCCCCGACAGCCAAGCCCCCATCTGCCGATTCGTAGATCCAATACTCGGCTTGCAACAAGTCCTCGGCCTGCTCTACTGTCGTGTTGATCAGGAGCCAACCACCTCCCGGCGCCAGGCTTACGCTCTCGTCAGGAATACCCGCGGCGGTGACCCAACTCTGCGCGGCCTTGATGGTCTCGGCGGCCGGCGCGAACTTCTTAGCAACCTCGTCCTGCGTCCAGTGTAGCCCGTAGTTGGACGAGCGTGGATCAGACACATCCATCAGCCAGTCGAACCCTTTGTGTAGATTCTGCTGTGCGAGCGCGATGCGCATCTGAAACCTGTCTTCCGAGAACATGCGATCGCGCTTGGCCCAGTGTGAATGATGGTGATCGCCTCTTCGCTCGTGGGGCACTGAAGCTGAGGAGCCCAGCGCCGCGGCGCCTAGCAAGGAGGCCACGGCAAGCCTCAAGGTCGCCATAATAGCAAGAAGGAGATTTGAGATCGCGACTCAAACAATCTTGGGCAACGGACTCTGCGAAGGGGTAGAACAAGCCCTCTTGGCAACAAGTATTAAACACAGCTCAGCTTGGCTTCACGATAAGAACACTACTGCTATTTCATATTGAAGAGGAACACAAAAAAAAAGGTTGGTCTATAATGTCGGGAGGCATAAGATACTCCCGGTGTCGATCGTCGGCACCTGTGGCACAGCGCAAAGCACGAAATTACGGGGGTCCACGCCTATAGTGTCCCTGCTAAGGAGCAAGCAATGGCGCGGCTGCGCCCAGATTGGGAAGTTGGGGCTGGCTGGTGTGGGCATTCCTCTCGTATTTCACGTGTACCTGCAGGTGGGTTGGTGTAGATCAAGTTCCATTTCCGGCGCGTGCTCGCCCAATTCCCAACCATGGGCAGAGCCTAAGTGTGTTTCAGTCTAGATTACGGGGCTGGGGGGTATCGCTGCAATAGTCAGTCGGATACCAACCGCAATAATACTCTTGTCAGTATAAGAGCGGCAGTGCAACTTGAGCCCCGGCGAAACAAAATCTCCCGAACCTACATACTGTTGCTCAATAACACAAAGGTTCATGAGGTAAACAGAACAACTGTCGATGTTGTATTGTAGGCGTCGCGGCATCGCACCGCATGAATCCACACAACCTCAGTTTTATTTCGCCAGTCTCCACCACGAGCTGCCCGAGCCAGCCGGTTCCTGGTTGCCCATTTCATGCATTTCATCGTTTTAATTGGCAGAAACTTTTCAGTGGGAATTTTACCCATAGCAAATAGATGATGGCCCAGTTGACGACGTTGATAAACGAGCTTAAAACTGAAGACAACTCCAGGCATACGGACTGCTGTGCTGCAACGCGCCTATTGGACGTTTTCCTTTCTAGCGCTCGAAGACGATTGGAGATGCACCCCAACAGTTGACCAGTGCTGATAAAACGGGGCTCTGTATGCAATTTAAACTTTGTAGCTTCTCGACAGAGTAATCCGGCAAGGAAATCCTATAGGTTCGCTCCGTGGTAACAACGCAGAGCGTCGCGCAGCCTGGTCGGATGTGAATTGTATTGTAGATTCCGTAAAGACTAGCAAAGAACAAGTTATTTTGGTTTTAGAGTATTCCATCATCGTTAAGAAGAGATGATGTGCACAGCAATATATTCGCGCGGCCCATAGGGAGCCATTTTCACACTATATACAAGGTATACACGCTTAGGTCTTCTTTTGCAACAAGCAATGCTGCCCCCATTGTCTTCGAAACTTGCTCGGAACCACCTCCAAGTCTGGAACCCAGAGAACCCTAGCCAAAAGGTGGGTGTTGGCCGCGTCTAGGAAAGGTACACACTTGACAATTTCCCAGTGCTCTGAATCGGCAATATAATCAGGTTCATGGGGTGGAAGGGGGTCAGTATGCGAAGGATACTGCGTATCAACCAGGAATGAGCACTGCGCAATATCCACATATTTGCTCATATCTTCCTCGTTGCGGTCGTTCATGCCGCTGGTGGGCAACCAGGTACCACTCCAGACGCCGAACCCACTCCGGGACTCGGCGAACTCGCCCGGTAGTAGTCCCCGAAACTCCGACCGTATAAACTTGGCATGCATGTCACGGGGCAAGAAATATGAAGTTGGGAAGCGATACCACTCCTTTCCAAAGCACACAAAGTCCCCTCGACTACCAAGTCCTTCTTGCCCTAGAACGCCAGCCCCTAGAGGAGTATACAGCTTTAGTGGAGCAGAGTAGGCCGTATATATAGCAAGAATCCGAGATAGTCCCAGATACACAGAGAACAGGAGAACATATGAGACAGCGAAAAGCTTGAGCTTAGCTGGAATCTTGCCCACCAAGGTTTTCGGGTCTGAATTCCCAAAGAAATTTAGGAAAACATGGAGCGCGACAGCACTGTTGAAAGTGAGAAAAGGATACGCGGGGTACATGAAGCGCTCCTCCTTGTGTGGCTGCAGGGTGAATATTCCGAGCCACAGGTAGAATGGCGAGAGGAACACGATGGTGCGCAGCCCAGACTGGAATCCGTACTGCTTGGACGAAATCAACTTTTGAATTAAGAACAGCGGCATCGACAGCAAGGCGAGAATGAACCAAATATTGAAGTTAATGACCAGGTTCCGGAAATAAAAGGTCCAAGGCTCGGTTCCATAAAGGTCAGGTCCGCCGCTTGACGAGAAAATGTTGTACTTGACAATGTTCCATGATACAATCTCCCACTTTCGATAGAAGAACGAATTGATCGCCGAATCGCCAATCTGTTTAGGTTGATTAAAGTTAGCCAATTTGCAATCCTAGCTGCAAATACAAGAATTGACTTACCAGCAGCAGAACGGCAGCGAGGCCGCCTCGAACCACTCGCAGGATAGCTTCATAGAATCCATCACGGCTACCGAAAACAGCAAAAATAGCCTCCTCTGCCAAGAAAGGGAAGCAAAGCGCGGCAGCGAAAGGCCAGCCCATGATAGCTCCGACAGCGAACCACCAGATGCCCCAGGCTGTTTTGATCCCTTCACGCCAGTTCATGAAGGCGGCAGCTCCGAGGAGTGAAGTATACATAGTGAAGCTCGAAGGAAGAAAGGCGGTTGCCGAGTGGAAGTTGCCAGGTGAAATGATAGTCGCAATGAGGAAAAACAGGCCGACCCTTGCACTCAGTGTGAAGCTGATGACCCTAAATAGGAGCACCTGGC